CCCTCCCTCCCTCCCTCCTCCCTCCCCTCCCTCCCTCTTCTCTTCTCCTCTCTCTCTCTCTCTCTTCTCTCTCCTCTCTCCCTCTTCTCCCTCTCTCTCTCTCTCCCCTCTCTCTCTCTCCCTCTCTCTCTCTCCCTCTCTCTCTCTCCTCTCCCACCCCCCTCTCCCCACCCTTCTCCCTCCCCTCTCCCTCTCCCTCCCTTCCCCTTTCCCCTTTCCCTCTCTCTTCCCTCTCCCCCCCTCTCTCTCTCTCTCTCATTCTCCTCCCTCTCCCCACCCCCCTCTCCCCACCCCCTTCCCCTCCCTCTCTCCCTATCCCTCCCCCCTCTCTCCCTACCCCCCCTCTCTCTCTTCTCTCCCTCCCTATCTCTCTCTCTCCCTCTCTCCCCTCTCCCTCTCTTTCTATGCATATACATATAAATAAAATCCACATAAATAAAACAAGCTATTACGACACATTCATGATACCGAATGCCCCTCCCTCCCTGGGGCGTCCTGCCACTTTGCCTCCCTCCCCTATCCAACATGCCCCAACCCCCTCCACCCCCTACCCAAAAATGCCCCCACCCCGTCCCTTCCCTACCCAAAATGCCCCCACCCCCTCCCTTCCTCAACTACCCCCCCCTACCCAAATACCCCTACCCCTCCCCTCCCCTCCCTCCCAACCATAACCCCCACTCCCTACCCACATACCCCCCTCCCCTCCCCAACATACCCATCCCTCCCCCCTCCCCCTACCCAACATAACCCCTACCCCCCTCCCTTCCCCACATACCCCTCCCCCTCCCCACCCCCCTCCCTCCGTCCCCCTACCCGGCACATTACACCAAGACTCGCCGGGCCGGGCAGCGCAGACGCCAAAGATGGCCGAGCGTCTGACGCAACATGAATAAACCACCAGCTGAGCAGCCGCCGCAGTTGCCGTCGCCGCCGCCGCACTTGGCCAGCTGGCCGCATGTAACCCAGCTGATATATCCCCCCCCCCACCCCTACCCTTCTCCCTGGACCCTGGACCCCTCCCCCTCCCCCAGTCTTCTCTTCCTAAGCTAAGCAAACTCCTCTTCCTTCCTACTTAACGCCTCCTGCCTCCAGCTACTACCGCCTCCTCCTTTTCCTTTTTCTCACTCCTCCTCCCCCGTCCTCTTCTCCTCCTCCTCTTCCCCATCGCCTCCTCTCCCCCCACCACCTGTCCCTCCTCCTCTTTCCCACCACCTACTCCTCCTCCCTCTTCCCACACCATCTCCTCCTCCTCCTCCTCTTCCCTCCTCCTCCTCTTCACCCTTCCTCCTCCTCTTCCCCTTCCTCCTCCTCTCCTCTTCCCCTTCCTTCTACTTAGCACTTTCTGCCTCCTCTGCTTCTTCCCTTCCCTCTTTACCCCCCTCCTCTCCTCCTACCCAACCGTCTTCCTCAACAGCTGACATACCCCCCACTCCCTCTCCCTCCGCATCTTACCCCTCTCCCCCTTTCCTCTTTTTTCCCCATTCCCCTTTTGCAGCCTCCCTTCCTCCAACAGCTGACTTACCCTCACTTCTTCCTCCCTTCCTTCTTTTATTCTCCCTTTCTTTCCTTTCTTCTCTCTTCTTCCTTCTTTTTCTTCCCTTTCCTTCTTCCCTCTTTTCTTCCTCTGTTCCTCCATTTCCTTCCTCTTCTCCTCCCTTCTCTTCTCTCTCTTCCTCCTACTTAGAGCTCGCTTCCCTTCTCCCTCATCGTACATCCTCCCATCTCCTTCACTTCCCTCTTTCTTCTTTCTTCTTCTCTTCTTTTTTTTTCTTTTTCTTCTTCTTCTCATTCTTCTTCTTCATCTCTGTCTTCATCTTCTTTTCCCTTTTTCAATTTTCATTTTCTTTATTTTCTTCTCCTCTTTTTTCTTTCTCCTTCTTCTTCCCTCCTTTCATTTCTTCTTCCCCATCTTCTCCCTCGCTTCCTAATATACACTCCCCCTTCCCCACTCCTCTCCCCCACTCCTCAATTCCTCATCCCCTCATCCTCCCCCCCCTCCCCCCCCCCTCCCCCCCCCCTCCCCCACCCCCACCCCCCCCTAACAGCTGGGCAATCCGAAACATAGACGAAAACCGATATCATCGACTCCTTTCGAAGGATTCTCGAACGGGGGGGGGGGGGAGGAGGAGGAGGAGGAGGAGGAGGAGGAGGAGGAGGAGGAGGAGGAGGAAGGAGGAGAGAGGAGGAGAGGAGGAGGAGGAGGGGTGGAAGAGGAGGGGGAGGAGGAGGAGGAGAGGAGGAAGGGAAGAAGAAGAGGAGGAGGAGGAGGGGAGAGAAGGAGGAGGAGGAGGAGGTGGAAGAGAAGAGGAGAGGAGGAGAGGAGGGGGGAGGAAGAGAAAAAGGAGAAGAAGAAAAAAAAAAAAAAAGGAGGAGGAGAAGGAAGAGGGTCAGAAAGCGGAGAAATAAAAGGCGGGAGATATAGGTGCACACAAGCAAAACACGCACACTGTCCTGTTTTTTTTGTTTTTTCTCTCTTCCTCTCCGTCTTACATATACATTTCATTGTTATATTTCTTGGTCCCCCCTTTTTTCTCTTAATCTCTGTCTCTCCCTCCGTCTGTCTGTCTGTCTCTCTCTCTGTCTCTCTCTCTGTCTCTCTCCCTTTCACCCTCCCCTCTCCCTCTCTCTCTCTATCTCCCCTTCACCCTCGCTTCCTCTCTCTCTCTTTCTCTTTCTCTCTCCCCCCTTTTCACCCTCCTTCCTTCCTCTCTCTCTCTCTCTCTCTCCCTTTCACCCTCCCTTCCTCCCCCCCCCTCACTCTCTCTCTCCCCTCCCCCTCCCTTTCACCCTCCCTTCCTCTCCTCCCCCTTTCACTCTCTTCCCCCCCCCTTCCCCCTCTCTCTCCCCCCCTTCCTCCCACCCTCTCTCCTTTCTCTCTCTCTCTCCCCTTTCACCCTCCCCCTCACTCTCTCTCTCTCTCTTCCCCCCTCCCTTTCCCCCTCCCTTCCTCTCCCGACGCACCGTAGCAATAAAATCAACAAACGACCAGTTGCCATGTCTGAAGCAGCGCGTTTTTTTTTTTACGACAGCTCTTTTACAAACGGAACGAGATCGCCGCTTGTCCATTTGGCTCCCACATACAAGCGATAGAAAGAAAAAAAAAACAAATGAAAACACGGAAAAGATATTTTTAAAAAGAAGAGGAGGAGGAAGGGGGGGAGGGAGGGGAATGAAGAGGGGAGGAAGAGGGAGGGGGAGGGGGTGAGGGAGGAGGAGAGTTCATATAAAACGAAGAAAAAGAGAAAATAATTTTTAAAAGAAGAAAAAAAAGAAGAGGAGGAGGGAGGGGAAGGGGGATGGGGGGGGGGGAGAGGAGTTCTTACAAAACGAAAGAAAAAAGAAAAATAATAAAAAAAAGAGGGGGAAGGGAAGAGGGAGGGGGTTATGGGGTGGGGGTGGGGGAGGAGGGGAGTTCTTACAAACGAAAGAAAAAGAGAAAAATAATTTTAAAAAAGAAGAAAAAAGAAGAGGAGGAAGGGGAAGAGGGAGGGGTGTGAGGGGGGATGGGGGGGAGGGAGGAGGAGTTCTTACAAAACGAAAGAAAATGCAGAAAAATAATTTCAAAAAGAAAAAGAAAAAGGGGGGAGAGGAGAAGAGGGAGGGTGAATGGGGAGAAACTCTTACAAAATACAGAAAAATAACTTTAAAAAGAAAAAGAAAAGGGGGGGGAAGAGAGGAGGGAGGGGGAAGGGGGGGAGGAGAGGAGGAGGGGGAGGAGAGGGGGGGAAGGGGAGGGGAAGAAGAAGTCTTTAAAAATAGAACGACGGCGCTGCTTCTTCATTGGCTCCAAAATACATGCTACACGAAGAGAAAAAGAAAAACAAAAAAAAAAATAATTTGGAAAAAGTGAAAGGTAAGAGAAAGAGAAAGGGGGAAGGAGGATAAGGGATGGAGGAAAAGGCCGACTAAGAAAATAATAAAGAGAGAAACAGCAGCTACACCTAAAAAAGAAAAAGGAAAAAGGATAAAAAACAAACAGCAAAGAAAATCATTAAAAAGAAAAATGAAAAACTACACAAGACAAAAAAAAAAAAAAAAAAAAAAAAAAAAAAAAAAAAAAAGAATGGGAGAAGGGAGAGGAGGGGAGACGAAGAGAGGAGAGGAAGAGGAGAGGGGGAGAGGGCAGGGCAGAAGGAGAACGCTGAACATGCTACGTTTAAAATTCATCGATCAATTGTCTAATAAAAATATCGATCGGAGAAGAAAAGCGAATGAGGTTTTGGAGGAGTTGTCGAGGGCACTTGAGGAGAGATAGAGAGAAAGAGGGAAAGGGGAGAGAGAAAGAGAAAGGATGAAAGAGAGGAAGAGAAAGAAAGAGGGAAAGGGAGAGAGAAAGAGAAAGAGAAAGAGAGAGAGAGAAGAGAAAGAAAGAGGAGGAGAGAGAGAGAGAAGAGAAAGAGGAGAGAGAGAAAGAGGAGAGAGAGAGAGAAAGAGAGGAGAGAAAGAGGGAGAGGGGAGAGAGAAAGAGAGAAGAGAAAGAGGGATAGAGAAGAGAAGAGAAAGAAAGAGAGATAGAGAGAAAGAGGGAGAGGAGAGAGAGAGAAAGGAAAGAAAGAGAGGAAGAGAAGAAAGAGAGAAGGGGAGAGAGAAAGAGAGAGAAAGAGAAAGAAAGAGAGAAAAAGAAGAGAGGTGGGCGAGCGAGAGAGAGATTAAAAAGAGAAAGAGAGAGATAAAACAAAAGATCAAACACCGAAGGAGAGAATCATGGAAAAAAAAAGATCAAAGCAAAGAAAAGAAACCAAGAAACACATAAAAAAAATAATAAAAACAATCCGCCATTACATCTTTTCGAATAAAACCGACTCCACCCCACCCCCACCCCCACCCCCCAAAAAAAAAAAAAAAAAAAAAAAAAAAAAAAACTCCCACGAAATTAACCGCGTGCTAATTAAACCCCACTTCTCGCTAGCAAAAAATAAATAAATAAATAAATAAAAGAAAAGAAAAGAACTGAGATAAAAGCCACGACGTCAGCACCAACGAAGACCTCTCACACAGACCATCGCCCGAGGCATAAACAACGGGGACGGGTCTGAGGCACACCTGGCGAAGTCACACCTGGGGAGGTCACCACCAGAGAGGTCACACCTGTAGATGTCACTATCAAAGAAGTCACACCTGCGGGAGAGTCACACCCAGTCAGAGAGGTCACACTGTAGATGTCACCACCAGAGAGGTCACACTGTGGTCACACCTGTAGATGTCACACCAGAGAGGTCACACCTGTAGATGTCACCAAGAGAGGTCACACCTGGATGTCTCCATCAGAGAGGTCACACCTGTAGATGTCACCACCAGAGAGGTCACACCTGCAGATGTCACCACCAGAGAGGTCACACCTGTAGATGTCACCACCAGAGAGGTCACACGTCACACCTGTAGATGTCACACCAGAGAGGTCACACCTGTAGATGTTCACCACCAGAGAGGTCACACCTGCATGTCACCATCAGAGAGGTCACGCCTGTAGATGTCACCACCAGAGAGTCACACCTGTCACCACCAGAGAGGCTGTACATGTCACCATCAGAGAGGTCACACCATGTCACAGAGAGGTCACACCTGTAGATGTCACCATCAGAGAGGTCACACCTGTAGATGTCACCACCAGAGAGGTCACAGATGTCACCACCAGAGAGGTCACACCTGTAGATGTCACCACCAGAGAGGTCACACCTGTAGATGTCACCATCAGAGAGGTCACACCTGTAGATGTCACCACCAGAGAGGTCACACCTGTACATGTCACCACCAGAGAGGTCACACCTGTAGATGTCACCACCAGAGAGGTCACACCTGTACCACCCACCAGAGAGGTCACACCTGTAGATGTCACCACCAGAGAGGTCACACCTGCCACCACCAGAGAGGTCACACCTGTAGATGTCACCATCAGAGAGTCACACCTGTAGATGTCACCATCTGGTCAGAGAGTCACACCTGTAGATGTCACCATCAGAGAGGTCACACCTGTGTCACCATGTCACACCTGTAGATGTCACCATCAGAGAGGTCACACCTGTAGATGTCACCACCAGAGAGGTCACACCTGCGGGAGTCACCACCAGAGAGGTCACACCTGTAGATGTCACCATCAGAGAGGTCACACCTGCGGAGGTCACCATCAGAGAGGTCACACCTGCGGATGTCACCATCAGAGAGGTCACACCTGTAGATGTCACCACCAGAGAGGTCACACCTGTGGAGGCGTCACACCAGAGAGGTCACACCTGTAGATGTCACACCAGAGAGGTCACACCTGTGGGGTCACCACCAGAGAGGTCACACCTGTAGATGTCACGATCAGAGAGGTCACACCTGCGGAGGTCACCATCAGAGAGGTCACACCTGCGGATGTCACCATCAGAGAGGTCACACCTGTAGATGTCACCACCGTCACACCTGTGGAGGTCACCATCAGAGAGTCACACCTGTAGATGTCACCACCAGAGAGGTCACACCTGTACATTCACCACCAGAGAGGTCACACCTGTAGATGTCACCACCAGAGAGGTCACACCTGTACATGTCACCACCAGAGAGGTCACACCTGTAGATGTCACCACCAGAGAGGTCACACCTGTACATGTCACCACCAGAGAGGTCACACCTGTAGATGTCACCATCAGAGAGGTCACACCTGTAGATGTCACCATCAGAGAGGTCACACCTGTAGATGTCACCATCAGAGAGGTCACACCTGTGGATGTCACCACCAGAGAGGTCACACCTGTAGATGTCACGTCAGATAGGTCACACCTGTAGAGTCACCACCAGAGAGGTCACACCTGTGGAGGTCACCACCAGAGAGGTCACACCTGTAGATGTCACGATCAGAGAGGTCACACCTGCGGATGTCACCATCAGAGAGGTCACACCTGCGGATGTCACCATCAGAGAGGTCACACCTGTATTGTATAGGTATTTTATTCGTTGACTTTCCTTCAACAAATTTCGTTCCATCAACTTTTCACCAACAATATTCGTCCGACAACTTGAATCCAACAACTTTTCCTTAACGATTTTCGTTGCTCCAACATTTCACCAACAATATTCAATTACAACTTGAATCCAACAACTTTCCTTCAACAATTTACGCACACCACACTAATTTTCGTCAACATTTCGTGAAAAAAATCGTCAACTAAGTTTCCATCAACAACTTTCCTCCTCAATAACATTTTTTCGCCAATTTTACGTGAAAAAAAAAATCGTCAACTAAGTTTCCATCAACAACTTTCCTCCTCTATAACATTTTTCCGCCAACTTTACGTGAAAAAAAAATCGAACAAATATAACATTTTTCCGCCAACTTTAGAAAAAAATCAACTAAGTTTGACATTCACCCGCAAACTTTCCTTCGGTAATTTGGCATTCATGACGCCTGACTCTCTGCCTCTTTATCGTCTCTTTTCTCTTCGTTCACTTGCCTTCGCTGGACATGACTTGACATTGATTTGACGGACGACTTTGACGACTTGATTTGACGACTTGAGATGACTTGACTTGATTTGATGATGACATCTTGACATGACTTGACGACGACTGACATGACTTGACTTGTCTTGAACTGCCTCGCCTCGTCTTGTTTTGACTTTACTTGCTTTGCCCTGTCTTGCCTTGATATGACTTGTCTTGCCTTACTCTGCATTGATTTGACTTATGACTTGCCGTGTCTTGACTTTGATTGGCTTGGCTTGATTACTTGATGTATGCCTTGTCTTGACTTGTCTTGTCTGCTGCCCTTGACTTAGTATGCCTTGACTTGGCTTACCATTTCTTGATTTCTTACCTTTTCTTTTCTTTTCTTTCTTTGCTTTGACTTGACTTAGCATGGCTTTGATTTGTTTACCTTGTCTATTCTTCTTGCTTTCTTTCTTGACTTGGCTTGTCTTTTGCTTGGTACTTTTTTTTCTAAGTCTTTTTTTTGTGACTTGCTGGACTTGGCATTGTGCCTTTATCTATTCCTTCTATTCTTTTCTTTCCTTGCCGGGTTCTGTCCTTGCCTTGATTTGTCGGTGAAGTTGAGTTTCAGGGTCGGCGGCGTTGTTGTAAAGAGGGGGGGGGCGAGGCGAATTCTTGTAACTCATTCGTTGTTTGGACTGTCATTTTTGTTTTTGTTTTTTGTTTTTTCTAATTATTCCTGATATTGTCTTTCCGTCGTTCATTTTCATCGTTCTTAATATCTGTCTATTTTCTGACTGTCTGTCTCTGTCTGTCTGTCTGTCTGTCTGTCTGCCTGTCTGTCAGTCAGTCTGTGTTCAATCTACCTGCCTTATCAGTCAGTCAGTCAACCAGTAAGTCAGTTCAGTCACTTTAGTAAGCCAGTCAGTCACTCAGTAAGCCAGCCAGTCAGTCTCAGTAAGCCATCAGTCAAGTCAGCCGTCAGTCACTCAGTAAGCCAGCCAGTCAGTCACTCAGTAAGCCAGCCAGTCAGTCACTCAGTAAGCCAGCCAGTCAGTCAATCAGTCAGCCAGCCAGTCCAGTCAGTAAGCCAGCCAGTCAGTCACTCAGTAAGCAGCCCAGTCAGTCATCAGTTCAGTCAGCAGTCAGTCAATCAGTCAGCCAGCCAGTCAGTCAGTCAGTCAGTCAATCAGTAAGCCAGCCAGTCAGTCTCAGTCAGCCAGTCAGCCAATCAGTCAGTCAGTCCAATCAGTTAAGCCAGCCAGTCAGTCAATCAGTCAGTTAGTCTGTCTGTCTGACTCCTAGAAATCCCGAGACTCGATAAGAATGTTTCCTTTCATTCAATAATAATTCAAAGAAAGAGAAAACAAATCCGGTGTCATGTTCCACAACAACTTTCCATTCATTCCTGGAGATTTTGGCATCTCAATCGTCCAACCTGTTTTCTCTCTCTTTTTTCTCTTCTCTTCTCTTCTCTTCCTCTTCTCATATCTTTCTTCTCTTCTCTTCTCTTCTCTCTCATATCTTTCTTTTTCTCTTTCTCTTTCTCTTCTCCTGTCCTCTTCTTCTCTCCTATCCTCTCTCTCTCCTATCCTCTCTTCTCTTCTTCTTCCTCTCTTCTCTCTATTCTCTCTCTATCCTCTCTTCTCTCCTATCCTCTCTTCTCTCCTATCTCTTCTCTTCTCTATCTCTCTCTCTCTTCTACTCTCGTAGTCACCTCACCTCTCCTTTCATCTCTCTTTTTTCTTACTCTCTTTTTTCTTTCTCTCCTTCTTCCACTCCCGTTCCTACTCCCACTCCCTCTCTCCTCCCCTCTCCCTTTTACTTCCATTTTATGAACTTCCAAGATATACTCATTCCAAGAAATCACGAAGACCTAAGGAAACCAACAAGGGGAAATATAAAAGCGAAAAATAGGCACGGCGACAGATAGACAACCCGAAGAGAGGAGAAACACACACCAAAACAGTAGAGGAAATCAGCAACAAATAAAAAGAAACACACACACAAGAAGAGGAACAGAAAAAAATACACCAAATCAAAAATACGATAAAGACAGAACCACCAAGAAGGTTCAAGCGAAGGTCACGTTAGTCTTCTCTGTCCTGGGATCTCTTGACATCCTCGCCGAAGTCTGGCCAGCTACAGCTTGTGATTGGTCAGCTGACCTGACTTCGACGAGGCTAGATCAGTTCAGTTCAGTTAGATTTGCGCCCGGGTCTTTTCTCTAGAGTGACCCGGCCTGGTTCAACTATTCCTAGTTATCTCATGTGTTTTCTTTGAACTGTATGCTTATCGTCGTGGCTGGATTGCAAGCAAGCGATCCAGCTGCCACGGTGCAAGCATGTGGCAAACCCGGCGGCTGTGGTGGCTGGTCCCTGTCTTAGAAACTGCGTGTGTTCACAATTCTGCAAATAATGTAACAGGGTGGCGTTAGGCTCGCCGCAATGCTTGCCTAACGTCACCCTGAAGACTAGTGTGACCCTAGCTTGACCTGACTTCGACGAGTCTAGGGATCCCACGAGAGAAGACGAGTGTGCCCTTTAGCTTGGTCTGACCTCGACGAGTCTAGGGATCCCACGACAGAGAAGACTAGTGTGACCCTGGCTGACCTGACCGACGAATCTAGGGATCCAACGACAGAGAAGACTAGTGTGACCTTAGCTTGGTCTGACTTCGACGAGTCCAGGGATCCCACGACAGAGAAGACGAGTGTGACCTTAGCTTGGTCTGACTTCGACGAGTCTATCTCGGGATCCCAGGTTAGAGAAGACTTGTGTGACCTTAGCTTGGTCTGACTTCGCCGAGTCTATCTAGGGATCCCAAGTTAGTGAAGACGAGTGTGACCTTAGCTTGGTCTGACTTCGACGAGTCTAGGGATCCCACGACAGAGAAGACGAGCGTGACCTTAGCTTTGGTCTGACTTCGACGAGTCTATCTCGGGATCCCAGGTTAGAGAAGACTTGTGTGACCTTATCTTGGTCTGACTTCGCCGAGTCTATCTAGGGATCCAAGTTAGTGAAGACGAGTGTGACCTTAGCTTGGTCTGACTTCGACGAGTCTAGGGATCCCACGACAGAGAAGACGAGTGTGACCTTAGCTTGGTCTGACTTCGACGAGTCTATCTAGGGAGCCCAGGTTAGTGAAGACTAGTGTGACCTTCGCTTGACCTGACTTCGGCGAGTCCAGGGATCCCACGACAGAGAAGACGAGTGTGACCTTAGCTTGGTCTGACTTCGCGTCTATCTAAGGATCCCAGGTTAATCTTTACTAACCTGGGATCTCTAAATAGCTAGGGATCCCAGGTTAGTGAAGACCAGTGTGACCTAAGAGGACACAACCAGCAACCTGGACGGCTTCCAGACTGGCTCCATCCGGACACTTCCGAGACTGAATTTAGGACACTGAGTCTATGGCATTCCGAGAAGAGAAGTTGGCATAGCGGAACATTCTGATAGAACCAAGAAAGAGGAAGAGGAGGCGGAGGGGGAGGAGGGGAGGGAAGAGGAGAGCGAGAAGGGAAAGAGGAGGAGGAGGCGGAGATGAAGGAGGAGAGAGAGGTGGAGAGAGGAGGAGAAGGAAGAAGAGGAAGAGAAAGAGGGCGATAAATAGGGAGAGGAAGAGGAACAGTATGAGGAAGAGGGACAGAAATAGGAAGAGGAAAACATGAATAAGACTGATCTAGTCACCGGGGAGAGAGGGAAAAGGAGGTAGGAGGAGTAGAGGGAAGTAGGGGGAGGGAGGAGAGGAGGAGGGGAAAGCGAGATGGTGGAAGAGGAGAAGATGAAGGAGGAGGAGGAGGAAGAACACTCACGTTAATGATCCTCAGAGACTAATTACTCAGCCACGAGGGTCATAATTACACCCCCCCCCCCCCCTCCTTTCTCCTTCTCCCCCATTCTCACCGTCTTCGCCAGGTCTTCCTTCCTCCTTTGCTCTTTCTTGTTCTTCCTCTCTTTCTTCGTCTTCTTCTTCTGCTTTACTTTTTCTTTTCTAAGTTTCATATTCTTATAATACTTTCTTTTATTCTCGATTTTTCTCTTCTTCTTTTTCTTATACGTCCTTTTTCTTTTCTCTTCCTTCCCTTTCTTCCTTTTCTTCTTTTTCTTTTTCTTCTTCTCCTTCCTCCTCCTCCTCTTCTTCTTCTTCTTCTTTTCCTCTTTCTTTCTCTTCTCCTTCTCCTCCCTTCTCCTCCTCCTTCTCTTCCTCCTCCTCCTCTTCTCTCCTCCTCTCTTCTCTTCCTCCTCTCCTCCTTCTCTTCCTCCTCCCTCCTCCCTCCTCCTTCTCTTCCTCCTCCTCCTCGTCCCCTGCCGCCCCGAGACCCCAAGAATAACTCGCATTCCTCAGCGAGATGGCTATTATCTTCATCCATAGTCAGACCACTAATTGCAACCTGTGGGGAGGGGAGGGAGAGGAATAGGGGGGGAAGGAGAGGGGAGGGGGGTTAGAGACTGAGGGGAGGGGGGATTGGGGAGGGGGGAGGGGGGAGGAGAGGGAGACTGAGGGGAGGGGGGGAGACTGAGGGGAGGGGGTTAGGGGAGGAGAGGGAGATTGAGGGGAGGAGGGGGATTGGGGGAGGAGAAGAGGGAGACTCAGGGGAGGAGGGAGGGGGATTGGGGGGAGGAGGAGGGAGAGAGGGAGGAGGGAGATTGGGGACTGATGGGGGAAGGAGGGAAGAAGGGGGTAGGGGGACTGGGGGGAGGAGAGGGAGAGGGTAGGAGGAGAGGTAAGAAGAAGAAGAAGAAAGACGAAGGGAATGGCAAGAAAGAGAAGAGGAGGAGAAGGTGTGAATCGGAAGGGAAGGAGGAAGAATAAGAATAATAAGAAGAAGAATAAGTAGAAAGACGAAGGGAATGGCAAACAAAATAAGAGGAAGAGAGGGTGTGAATCGGAGGGGAAGGAGGAAGAAGAGGAAAGGAGTTGCAGAAAGGGAAGAGGAGGAGAGAGAGAGAAGGGGAGTTAGAACGTCCCTTAGAGACATGGTCGGGGAAGCGGCCGGGAAGAGGAAGCCGGTTAGACAATAATACATTGAAGAAAGAAAAAGAAAGAAAAGAAAAGAAAAAAAAAAGGATTGAAAATTGAAGCAGAAGAATAACTTGACAAGAATAAATTTAAAGAGAAAAGGAAGGGAAGAAGGGGGGGGCGAAGGGGAGTAGAGAGAGAGAGAGAGAGAGAGAGAGAGAGAGAGAGAGAGAGAGAGAGAGAGAGAGAGAGAGAGAGAGAGAGAAAGAGAGAGAGAGAGAGAGAGAGAGAGAGAGAGAGAGAGAGAGAGAGAGAGAAGCAGAAGAATAACTGACATAAACTGAAAAAGATGACAAGATGGGATTTAAAGAGAAGAGGAAGGGAAGAGGGAGGGGGGAGAGAGAGGGAGACAGAGGGGGGTGGGGGGAAAGGTAGGGTAGGTTAGTGCCATCTCGGATTCTGCTCGGCTTCCCAACGGAGGCAGTGAGACACGGGGACACAGTGCCGCGACAGGGCCAGTGGACCGCCCGCTGCCACCCCGCTTTTCCCACCATCGACTTTCGGAATCAATTCGACTCTTCCTCTCTCTCTCTCTCTCTCTCTCTCGATTCGGTTCTTTCTCTCTTTCTCTCTCGATTCTTCTTTCTCTCTTTCTCTCTCGATTCTGTTCTCTCTCTCGATCGGTTCTCTCTCTCTCTCTCTTTCTCTCTCTCGATTCGGTTCTTTCTCTCTTTCTCTCTCGATCTTTATCTCTTTCTCTCTCTCTCTCTCTCTCTCGATTCTCTCTCTCTCTCTCTTCTCTCTCTCTCGATTCTCTTTCTCTTTCTCTCTCTCTCTCTCTCTCTCTCTCTCGATTCGGTTTTTTCTCTCTTTCTCTCTCGATTCGGTCTTTCTCTCTTTCTCTCTCGATTCTGTTCTCTCTCTCTCTCTCTCTCTCTCTCTCTCTCTCTCTCTCTCTCTCTCTCTCTCTCTCTCTCTCTCTCTCTCTCTCTCTCTCTCTCTCTCTCTCTCTCTCTCTCTCTCTCTCTCTCTCTCTCTCTCTCTCTCTCTCTCTCTCTTTAGTGTGGCTGTCTCTATCTGTATCTGTTTCTGTCTTTCTCTTTCGTTATCTCTCTTCCCCTTTCGCCTCTTTCTCGAATTGTATTTCCTCTCTCCCTTTTTACTCTCTGTCGATGTTCTCTGTCTATATCTGTATCTGTCTCTGTATTTCTCTTTCCTCCTCATTCTCGTTCTATCGTTCTATCTCCCCTCTTCCCTCCCCCTCTTCCTCCTCTCTCCGCCCTCCTTCTTTCCCTTCTTCTCCTATCTCCCCTTTTATGTCCCCTGCCTATTTTCCTCCCCTCTTTTCACCTTTCTCCTCTCCTCTTTTCCCCTCTTCCCCATCCTCCCCTCTTTTCACCTTTCATCTCTCCTCTTTTCCCCCTCTTTGCTCTCCTCTCTATTCTTTTCTCCTCTCTCCTCTCCTTTTCCCCTCTTTCCTCTCCTCTCCTCTTTTCCCTTCTTTCCTCTCCTCTCCTCTTTTCCCCTCTTTCCTCTCTTCTCCTCTTTCCTCTCCCCTTCTCTTTTCCCTCCTCTCATCCCCCTCTTTTTCTCTCCTCTCCTCTTTCCTCTTTCCCCCTCTTCCTCTCTTCTCCTCTTTCTTCTCCCCTCCTCCTTTCCCCTCTCTCCGCCCTCCCGCCACTACACCGCGACCACGTGTTCCCGCATCAGTTCCAATAGCGAGAGATCTGCCTCCCCGAGGGAAACGCTCCCCTCGGCGCTCCCCTCTCTCTCTCTTTCGCTTTCTCTCTCCCTCTCTCTCTCGATTTCTCATTTCTCTGTCCCTTTCTGTCTTAATTTCTTCTTTTCTCTCTCCCCTTTTCTCTCTCTCTTTCGCTTTCTCTCTCGATTTCTCATTTCTCTATCCCTTTCTCTCTTAATTTCTTCTTTTCTCTCTCTCTTTCTGTCTCGATTTCTCATTTCTCTCTCTCTTTCTCTCTTAATTTCTCATTTTCTCTCTCTTTCTCATTTTCTCTATCCCTTTCTCTCTCTTTCGCTTTCTCTCCCTTTCTCTCTCAATTTCTCTCATTTCTCTATCCTTTCTGTCTTAATTCTCATTTCTCTTCTCTCTTTCTCTCTCTCTTTCGCTTTCTCTCTCAATTTCTCATTTTTCTCTATCCG